AATCTCAAGTCTGACTGCCGCTTACCTGGTGCCTAAAGAATGGATTGATCTGAGACAATCACTTCCTTTTAGTCAGGTCAGGTCTGCTACTGCTTTAAGGTAGCATTTTCTGGTATGGACCCTAATTCTGCTAGGCAACACTTGCCTTGAGTTTCTTACAGTTCACAAAAACAGTGAGCAGTGAGTGGGCAGTAGCAGAGGAGTTGGTGTGTGTGTGTGTGTGTGCGCGCGTGTGTGGTGTGTTGGGGGTATCCTGAGCTTCTGTCACTGGCAACAGTGTCAGTGAGATAGAAATGTATCAGGGCAAATCTACCCCAGGGGACCTGGACCGCCTTCTGATACCACTTCTACCCTGGGTCAGCAGGTTCTCCAGAATCAAACATATGTAGCTTTTATTCAAAGTGACATGAAATTGATATTTGCTGATGCCTTTCTTGTGTCCAAGTATTGCTAATGTTTTATTAAAATAGTTTAATATGAGAGAAATCCTTTCCAACTGTATACTTCAATGAGTGCATTTGAGCTCACCAATATTTCCTGCTAAGCATCACCATGCTACTGTGTGGTAGCAGAGGAGATGTGGCACCTGTCTAAAGACTGTTAATCTCTCTTCTAGCGTAAAAGGAGGAAGAACTACTATTTTTCTCTTTAAGAAGAGCTACTTTTCTTCCTTTCTGACCTAGTTTAGTACTTGCTCCTAACACAGCAGCTGTGTAATGCTGACACCTTGTGGCCAAGGTCAACATCTGTCATCCCTCTGCCCAGTATTGACCCTGGAGCAGGTGTGAGGTCCTCCCTTAGGGTCAATTGCACAGTTCCACCACAGTACTACTAACAAAGCTGAGCAGTGGGCTTGTTATTATTGTTGTTGTTCTGTCATGGGGCTCTGTCGCTGAGCTTTTTTTGCTCAAGGCTAGCACTCTACCACTTGAGCCACAGTGCCACTTCTGGTTTTCTGTTGGTTAGTTGGAGAGAAAAGGCTCACGGACTTTCCTGCCTGGGCTTTGAACCATGATCTTCATATCTCAGCCTTCTGAATAGCTAGGATTACAGGTATGAGCCACCAGTGCCAGGCTGAGCAGTGTTTTATATGTGAGCAAGTTTCTCAGAGGCCCTGTATCCTGAGGGCTGAGGCCCAAAGTACCCAGAGATGTCAGATGAACGGTGCAGGGGAGGGGGCTGAGACTGTGGAGTGGCTACCAAAGGGTCACCTTCCTCTGTAAAAGGGGCACTCCCCCTGGTGCATCATCTATTGGACTCCTTCTCATGGCTCTCTGTTCCCAACCTTGTTGCATCTTCTTTGGTGCCCATCAAATCCTGAGCAGGACAAAGCCATGGCAACTACTAGTGTGAGGATAAGGAGCTCTTCCTAAAGAAGAATGAAAAATTCTTGGAGAACAAAAATTATTTTACAATTATTGTAATTGCAAAAGCAACACTTGCCCATTATACAACAACCACAATACAAAGGTCACCAAGGTAAGAAGTAGTGTCCTTACCCAGGGATAAGATGCACTAGGAAAATTGTCTTACATAGTTATATTTATGTAGCCCCAGTGCCATTCATTCTTTTGTGCAGATCTATATTTCCATCTGGTATCATTTGCTTTCTGTCTTTAACATATTACACTGTAAGTCTTCTGCAGAGCTTATATTTCTGGCAAACAAAACAAAACAAAACCTTTCACCTTTTCAAAAAGTAATACGCTGTTAGGTCCCGGTGGCCCACGCCTGTCATCTTAGCTACTCAGGAGGCTGACGTCTGAGGACGGAGGTTCGAAGCCGGCCTGAGCAGGAAAGCCCATGACACTCTTATCTCCAATTCACCACCAGAAAACCAGCCTTCAGCACAAAACCTAAGGGACATCACCCAAGTCCTGAGTTCAAGCCCCAGTACTAGTGTGTACATGCACATACACATACACACATACAGCATAATAAACTTTCAGAAAACTTGAGCATATAGTATAGTTCTATGACCTTCTCTTATCTTTTCTCTCATTTGTTTGCATTAATATAGATTGTTACAATTGATGTATGATATTGATATATTACATTTCATTAAATCCCAGTTTAGCATACAGTTCCTTCTTGGTGCTGAACATGTGTGTGTGCGTGTGTGTGTGTGTTAGGTATGGAACCTATACAAATGCTCTACCACCGAGCTACACACCTGTTCCTGTGGGGTTTGATAAATGTGTAATAATATAATCATTTCACTGCCCTAAAAATCTTCTGAGTCTACCTGTTTACCCTCCCCATCTTTGGCAATTACTAAACTTTTTACTATTTCTATAGTTTTTATTTTTACATAATGTCATATCCTTAAGATATTACAATCTTCACACTGGGCTCTTTCATTTAGCAAAAGACACTTTAAGTTTCCCCTATGTCTTTTCTTGGCAGAATAATATCTTACTATTTTTAAAATCACTGATTAATATCCTATTAATACCACAATTGTTTATCATTCATCTATGTAAATGAAGTATATCCTTGTCACTTCCAGTTTTTGACAACTATGAATTTGTTATAAAGATCTATGTGCCTCGTGTGTGTGTGTGTGTGTGTGTGTATGTGTGTGGTGCACATATTCATTTGGGTAATTCCTAGCAGCACAAGTGTTAGATAGTATAAGACTACACTTAGCTCAGCAGGAAACTGCCCAAACTGTCTTTCCAAGTGGAGGTAACACTTTGCATTCCCTCTAGCAATGCACAAGGATGCTGTTTGGTCCACATCCTCACCAGCATTTGGTGTTTCCAATATCTTAGATTTTGGTTTTGTAATATATGTGTATGGATATCTCACTGTCTTATAAATTTGCAATTCCATAATGACACATGATCCTGAGCATCTATTCATCCACGCTCATTTTCCATTTGTATATTTCTTTATGGAGCATCAGTTGAGAGCTTTTGTCCATTTCTACCTGTTTGTTTTATTGTTGAATTTTGAGAGTTCTTAAAGAATCCTTTGTAAGACACATGTTTTGTGACTATTTTCTGTTGGAGGCTTCTCTTTTCATTTTTTCAGTGTCTTTTACAGAGCAGAAGTTTATAATAAAAATCAACTTATTACTATTCTTTTTCTTTCATGGATTGATACATGTAAAGACTCATCACAAAACCCTAGGGTCATCTAGATTGTCTCCTGTTATGGTCTAGAAGTTTTATGTGGAAAGTGTTAGGACTTTTAAAAATTATTTTATTGGGGCTGGGAAGTTGGCTCTGGTACAGTGCTTGCCTCTCATGCATGAGGCCACGAGTTCGATTCCTCAGCACCACACGGAGCAGAAAAAAGCTCGAAGTGGTGTTGTGGCTCAAGTGGTAGGGCACTAGCCTTGAGCTGAAGAGCTGAGGGGCAGAGCCCAGATCCAGAGTTCAGGCCCCATGACCGACAAAAAAAAAATTATTTACGTCTTATTTACTTTTTTTTTTTTTTTTGCCAGTTCTTGGGCTTAAACTCAGGGCCTTTTGTTCAATGTTAGTGCTCTACCACTGTAGCCACAGCGCCACTTCTGGCTTTTTCTATGATTAATTAGAGAGACAAGTCTCTCAGGGCTGCCTGCCCTGGCTGGCTTTGAACCCTCATCTCTCCTATCTCCTATTTGCAATCCTCAGATCTCAGTCTCCTGAGTAGCTAGGAATATGGGCGTGAGCCATGGCGCCTGGCTTATTATTTTTAAAATATATCTAGTTGTTTCAGTTCAGTTCATTCACTTCAAATACCACCTTTTGTCCCTAAATTGTTTCTGCTTATCAAAGTGTTAACTAGATTTGAGTAGGCCTACCAATTCCAGGAGTCAGTGTCTGTCTTCCCGTGCGGGTCTCGCGGCGTCTCATTCCGGTCACGATCCCCCGCAGGCTGAGCGGCGCTCTTACCGAGTGCAAGCTCCCTCCACACACACGCAGGAACGGCGGGAGGCTGGAGCGTGCGACCGCACCACCGAGGGAGAACCGTCAGGGACGGCTTCTTCTCGCTCAGACGGGAAGAACTAACCCACAGCACTTCGCAGGTGGGTCGGAGTCCAGGCCCGGAAAACAGCGGCCAACCGTATTTCGGAGATGGCCGCCCAGGCCACCGCACCCCACCGCACCCCGGTGCGCGGCTGGTAGGGGCGGGGCCTCGCGCCGTCGGTCCTTCCGGTCCCGCCAACGTAGGCGCCGGCCAGACGGGGTCCTCCCCCAACAGCTTTCTCTCTTCGGCCTTGCCCTCCTTCCCGTCGCTAGCCTGGGCTGTGCTGTCCTGCAGCAGACACTCGTCAGACACCCGTCCACTTTAGGTCCCGTGCCCTCAGCGTCCTCAGCCAACAGACCCTTCGCCAACCGAGACACCGGCACCCTAACCCTTCCCGTCCGGCCCCTGGAGAGCAGGGACCGGCGTGAGAGCTCCGCCAGTGCACGGAGAGGGGTGGGCCAAAGGGGCGGGCCAACGGGGGGGGCGAGGGCTCTGATAGGAGCGGGCCTATGAGAGGGATGAGTACGCGAAAGCGGAGGGCCTACCGGGGAGGGAGGGCTCTGATAGGAGCGGGCCAAAGGGGCGGGACTACGGGGGGCAAGGGCTCTGATAGGAGCGGGCCTAAGCGAGGGATCAGTGCGTGTAGAGGCGGGCCTACCGGGGAGGGAGGGCTCTGATAGGGGCGGGCCAAAGGGGCGGGCCTATGGAGGGCGAATGCTCTGACAGGGAAGGGCCTATGCGAGGGATCAGTACGCGCTAGGGGAGATCCGAAGGGGCGGGAGTGCTCTGATAGGGGCGGGCCTATGTGAAGGACAAGTACGCGCTCGGGGCGATCCGAAGGGGCGGGCCTATGGTGGGGACCAGTACACGGATAGAGGCGGAACCACGTGGGGCAAGTGCGCGGACTGCGACGGGCCCGAGGGAGAAACAAATGAGGGGTGGGCCGGCTTCACAGGGAAGCGAGTGTGGGACAGTTGCCGACCCACGGTGGGGGCCGGTGCGCAGACGGCGACGGGCCCTGCGGGGAGAAACAAGCGCACGGGTAGCGGCGCCGCTGCCGTAGCCCTTTAAGCAGCCTCGCCAGGGCGCACGCGCAGTCCTGCCGTTGGGCGCGCAGGCGCAGAGGCGGTGGCGGATGTTTACCGCGGCGGAGGTCCGAGCGGTGCCGGGACCGCGGACGCGAGGGACGCGCCCGTAAGGGAGGCGCCCTGGGAGCTGCCGTCGCGGCCCAGGTCGGTGGGCTGGAGCGCGGAGGTAGAGCTGCGCTTGCGGCCGCCCCTCGGCCCCTTCCCTCGGGCAGGCCTGACCCTCCCCGGTCTCGCGAGCGCCGGGGCGCCTTCGCAGG